CACACACACACACACACACACACACACACACACACACACACACCCATACTTAAGAGGGTCTCTTGACTTCCTGCTTGCCTTTGGAGGAGACCCCACACAGTGTTGCCACTTCCTGGAGCTTCTGAACCTGGAGCTGAGGATGTGCATGTGTGGAAATCCTGGCTCGCTGCCGGCACCGGCATGGGCGATCCAGAGAAGCCTTCTCCCTCCTTTCTTGAGGATGAGCTCCCAGGCACGCAAGCCTGGCGTGGCCTTCCCTGGCAACCACGCATGCCCACATCAGGTGGTGCCCACTCCCTTGCATCTCATTGTTTGCACCATATACAAATGATTGCTCCTTCTTATTTCTCTAGCTGAAGAATGTCTCCCTGGTATGTTGCATGTGTGCACTGAATTCTGGGACTGCTCCCTCCCTACCACAGCCTCCTAAGTGTATCACATGCATTGCCCCATTTAGGTGTGACACACTCATCCCCCTCCCATCCCGTGGGTCACACACACCTCCCACCCCAGGTACATCACGTAAACATCTCTTCCCTGCTAGAGCACACCCCACACATATTTTGTACCCCCTCTCCCTCCACCTGAGTGTGTTGCACACAACATCTTCACTAGGTCACACACTAGCTTCTTTCCACAGGTCTGCATCGGGAATGACAGTCATCATGTCTCTCTGGACCTGAAGTTGATCACCTGGCAGTGGTTGGAGCCAGGTATGCCCCATGCCGAAATTCTCCCCTGCTCCTGCCTCCAGGAAGACCTCTAGTTCTGCTCAGGGTAGGCCTGAGGATTCTGGAAGAGTCTGGGACGTTTGCCAGACTCATCCAGCCAGCCTGGAGGGTACTCTCCTATGGGAAAAATCCAGAGCCCGCAGGCGGTGCAGAAGGGCTGTGGAGACCACCAGGGACATTCTCTGAGGGGCTGGTGTCCCTCAGGTCCACCTGGGATATCTTGCATGGCTGTGTTCCCCTGCTCATCTGAAGCTCCCTGGGCCTCAGTCTCTGCTGCCCATCTGTCATTTTCTGTGCTCTGGCACCACCTTTGAGATCTGTGGGCCCCTGTCAAGGGGGAGACGTTTTCAAACACTTGGGATCCACATCTGTGTCTGGCTGGGGCTCACACACAGGGTCTGGGGAAGCCTGGGGCCCCTTGACTGCACCCTGCCTATCTCTGTCCCAGGACCCCAGGGCTCTAGAGAATGACCATCCTGCCCAGGATTAGAGACACAGACAAGCAGACAATAGGGGTGCGAGGTGGCTCCCCGTCACAGACACAGGCACAGACACAGGCCCCTTGGTGGGGCAGGACACAAGGGCACAGGGGAGGGGGAGGGGGCGGGGGAGAAGGGCAAGTCCAGGGAGCTAGAGCTGCTGGAGCCCTGCTCCCTAGAGAAGGGACAGACCAGGGGATTTTTCTAGTTCCCTAAACATATGGATTGTTTTGTCTCATCTTTAAAGTATTGCAGTCTAACTGATATGGCTTTAACTATTGGAAACGGACAGAGAAGACACATGTCTGTCTCTGAAATAAAAGCATAAATCCACTAAAATGGAAAACCTGCAGAATGCAAACTGGGGTCAATGAGGCAGGAGCTTCGGGGGCAGGCAAGTCGCCCCCTCCCTGGGCCCTGCTTTTGGGGTAGGCCCCGATGAGGGCCCAGCATGGCTTCTTGGGGCACTGCCAGGGTCAGTCCCAGTGGACTTCTGAGGACCTCAGGCAGGAACCCTCCAAGGGCGGGAGGATTCTAGGCCAAGGACAAGGTCTCCTGTTGGATGTGGCCACCCACGGCCAATGGTTTGGAGGCCAAGAAGGGGGTATGTAACCTATGTTCTTTCTCCCGAAGCACACATTCTGCACACAAGTGCCTATTCAGAGCCACACATGCACACAACACTCTCAGCACATCTGACAGTCTCTCAGACACACACTGTACAACTTCTAACACATACCCATTGCTGCAGACACTCCTGCTATTTTGAAAACACATGCAGATACAGGCTAACACATGCAAACTTGACCACCCATATAAGATGGCTAGAAAACAGATATGACACAATTTCAATTCATACATACCCCCTCAAACAAACACACATACACAAGGCTGCCTAACATATACAATCTTTAACACAAGGGTATGATTAACATACACATACAGTCTCAACACACACACACTGACGATGCACCCATATGTACAATCTTTGGATGCACAATTGCTAATGCAGTCTCTGCCACATACACGCATGTGTGCATGCACACACACTTTCCTCTCTCATTTGCTCCAAGGCCCCTGGTTCTCACACAACTGACTGAGCAGGAGGCCTTGACAGTTTGGGGTGGAGGGAACAAATGCCATTTTCACACATCCCAGAGGAGAGTTTGTTCTTGGCCAATGAGATGAATGGACAGATGCCTTCTGTCAAGTGGGAACTGGCTTCTCCCCAAAGGCTTGGGGCTTTGGCCAGGAAGGGTCCTCCTGGGGACCATGGGGCCCTGGAAGCACATGAACAGGATGGGTTGGGGAAGTGGGGTGGATAGGAATGGGGGCAGCTTGGCTGTACCAATGGTGAGGTCCCATGGCATGGGCCATCGCTGCCCAATGGCTCCAAGTGTTTTCTGGGGGGCCTGGGAAGCCCCTTGGCTGGGCAAACTGGGCCCAGCCTGGCAGTGGGGCCCCAGGACCCAAGCAGAGAGGGGGGAGACAAGCGGCTGCTCTACCCTGGGGCCTCTCCACAGATGAGTTAAAGTCCAAAGAGGATCCATTTGGAGGGACTGGCTTGGCAGGGGCCATGCCTCTTCAGGTGGGGGTTGGGAGAGGAGTGCTCCTGGGCTGGGTGTCATCTCAGGGGGAGGGAAGAAGGAGAGCCCCAGCCTCCTGCCCAGACCTAGGCCTGGCCAGAATACAACAGGGCCTCTCAGGCTGGGCCCTCACAGGGCAGGCTTACCCTGACTCCCTTCCTTAGAACCAGGCCACTCAGTGCCCCTACCCTGACCTAGAGGCCCACTGTGGGTCAGAGGCCAAAGGTCGGCATGCTGGGCAGGGCTGGAATGTGTCATTACTTTGGCTGGCTGGGGACAATGGTCCTCCTGGCAGTGGGGTGCATGAAGGAATGTATGGGGGTTACCACACTAGCATAGACCTTAGGCTTCTGGAGGGGGCCCTCAGTGCCTCTGGCACTGGATTCAACGCCCCCTGCTGGGGGAAGCTGTCTTCCCTTTTTCAAGCAACTGGGAAGTGAGGTGGGGGCTGAATACCCTGGGATGAAGGGGGTGTGAGGGAGTGCTGAGGGGGAGGAGTCCTGGCCAGGGAAGGGGGGCAGAGGTCAACTGAGGTTTTCCCCTTCAGAACTGAGACTTAACTGAATGAAAAGAAAGAACGAAAAAAAAAAAAAGTAACAAGTGGAGTGGGAACAGGGCAGGAGGGCCGGTTACTTCTTGAACATGTCCTGCAGTGGCCCGGGGAGGTATTTGAGCACCGTGTCCAGGATGCTCTCCTCCTCTTCCTCCTCCTCATCCCCGCAGCCTGCAGGGATAGCCTTCTTGGGCCGGGTCAGGCTTCCCTCGCAGGGCTGCTCCAGGGCTGCCTTCTCCTCTGCCTCCTTCTCTTCCTTCTTCTTCAGCCCGTACTGGGAAGGGGGGAGGGCAGACATGAACATGAATGGGGCAAGGAGAGAGCTGGATCTCAAGGTCAAGCTGGCTCATCCGGGGCCGCCACTCATGGAAACTCCCCAAGCCTTAGTCCTCTCATCTATAAAATAGGGATAAGGATGCCTTCCTTATGGGATTGTGCCTGTTCTCGGCAGGTGTTCCAGAAAAGAGAGTCGGTGCATAGGGTTTCCTTTAAAATTAATACCTGCCCATAATAACTTCTCTGCCCTTCTGACATCCCCCAAGATTTCACATCTGAAAGTCCTCCCATAGGTTTCGATGACAAAACTCGATCTGAGCTCATGGGAGGCTACTTATAGCCTTGTTTTTTTGCAGTGGTGAGACTAGACATGTATGGAACTGCTTGGCATCAGGTGGCAGCTGCAGACCCATTGAGAGTGACACGTAACAATAACAGGTGCTTAGGGCACTACGGTACTTTCCCCAAATTCCCAAATTCTGGGTTGCAAAAATTTGGTCTCCAGTCTTGGGCACAAGACTGCAGACCATAGCAGCAAACATTCGGGAGCGCTTATCGTGTGCATTATCTTACTTAATCGCCATAACCCTCCTTTGAGGGAGGTGTTCCTGTGACACTCCTTTCTCCCTATGAGGAAGAAACCTAGTGAGAGTTAGGTCTAAGGTGAGAGCAGGGATTCAGGGGAGCCTGAGGCCGGGGTTTGGGGGGACCGGCTTGACCTCAGTTCCTTACTCTCCCACGCGGACGGATGGGTGATGCTGACCTTGTCTCGGATCTGCTGCCGGACCTTCTCACGCTCAGCCTCCATGCGCGCATGCTTGGCCTTACGCTCCTCCTCCTGCTGCCGCAGTGCTTCCTGTCGCTCCTCCTCTTTCTTCTGCGCGTCTGGGTCCTTCTCCTCCTCTCCCCCCAGCATCTTCCCCATATCCTTGGTGGCCCCTAAATCGGGTGGGGTGGGGAAGGAGAGGATGGGGTCAGGGGGGACCAGGGCTGGGGATAGAAGGACTTGGTGCTCTGCGGGCCCCTCCCACCTGGATTGAGACCCAGGTCGGGGAGTGAAGGGTGCGGGACTCACCTCCAAGGGCCTGCTTCATGACGAAGTCCATGACGCCGGCTCTAGTTAGCGTGCCTTAGCTCGCAGCCAAGGTTGCATGCAGGGCTCCTGACAAGGCCTGGCTCAGAGATATGTGTCAACCTGCAAAAGTGGAGTCAGGGATCAGATGGGAGAGGCCTCTGTACAGACTAGACAGCAGCCTCACCCTGGTTCGGGCCCCAGGCTGCATCAGCCCAGGCCAAGACCCAGTGCTCTGGCACTCAATGGAAAGGGGCTATTTCCTGAGTACTTGCTGCGTGCCAGGCACATATGTGTGTCCAAATATCTTCTGCTTCCGATTTTAAAACCTCATCTTGCCCTTATGGCTTTAATTGGATTGAGTCCAGGAGTGCTAGAAAGAAGGGGGAGTTTGGAGTCAGGCAGAGCTGGGTTCTCATGCCACCCTCATTCCTTATTCACCATGTGACATTCAGCTAGTTCCTGAACCTCCTTAAGCCCCAGTTTCCTCCTCCATAAGATAGAATGGCAGTGCCTCTTTTCCCAGGGCTACTGTGGAGACTGGAGAAAATTCCAGCCTGGGCCACTGGGCCAACCACTAGATGGAATGAGCAGGGGATTAGGGCCCCAGCAAATCAGAGGCCAGTGAAAAACTGAGAACAGTCAGCTTGGATGAACATATCCAGACTTCTGAAATTAGGCAAATGGAGAAATAAGTTACTTTTATTTCAGGAAACATGTAAGTTTTGTGTTTTATAGCTTAATATTGATTTTTATTTTGAATTACACATGGGGGTTGGAGACATGATAATCTTCTTGGGGCTTAGGGCCTTTAAAGTACCGAGCACGGGCCTTGTAAGCACTCAGCTTGTGTTAGTCCTCCTCTTCTCTCTAAATTACCAACTTTCAATTTTTATTATATTTTTTATTCTTTCCTTTTTGGCCTCAGAACATTTTCTCCAAATAAAATCTTAATGAGAATCTCAGTATGCAAGATCCCAATGTTAGTGGGGCGGGGAGGGTAGAGAGCTTGGAGCTTCCCTCCATCCTTGACCTCCTTCTACCTCGTTCCCCCCACATCCTTGAGAATTTGAACCCTGATACTGTAACTCTGAGAGATTTCCTTTTTATTTTAACCATTCAGTTTCATCACTGGCTTTTCATAGACAAAGCCATCGCAAATCACTTTTTGGGTGTAGATGGGAACATCCCTGACCTATCTAAAGGGTGATGTGGTCACGTGGGGTGAGGCCTACTCCCCAAGGCCTTTCAGCCCACACAGCCTTGGGGGCTTTATGATTTGCTGGGAGACAAAAGGGAAGTGGTGGCAGAGAAGCAGGCTGGATATCACAACCAGGTTGAGTTCAAGGTCACTGGCTGTTTGTTGATGATTTTCTTCATTTCTTTCAAAATGAGAAGACATATCAGCAGACTGAGATCTTTCGATCAAATGGGGCCCGAGAGTTTATTTGAGGATTTCTACATGATCATACCACCTGACAGGTTGTTTTGAGGAGAGCAAATCATGACGAAGTAGAAAAACATCCCCAGGGGCTTTGGCATCAGACACACCTGGTTAGAAGTTCGGGCTCCCTGGCTGTGGCCACCCTGGGGAAGTGTCAGTTTGCTCCAGGACAGCGAGGGAGTATTAAGCCTACCCTTGTACTGGTGTTTGAAGAAGAGGAGACACTGGTCAAGTGACTGGGTATGTAGCAGCTGCTCCTTAATGTTGGCCATTGCTGACTGCATATTTGTGAGGACGTGTCGGAGCAGGGTTTCCAGGAAATGTAAGAGAACCCACCCCGACCCAGAATTCTGAGTGTGAAGGCGGCTCCACTCAGTCAATTAAGATGTTTTTGCTGGATTCAAAAACATTGTAAAGAAACTGCATTTCTAAGAAGAGGAAGTGAACAATTTAATAATCAAATGATTTCAGGAACTATTGGGTTCCTCCTCTGTGTTTACATGCAGCTCAAGGAATTTGCAGGTGGTAGTAGAGACATGGGACTTTAATCTGAGATGCTTCAAATTGGTCCACAGGGCACCTGGGCTTTAGGTTCAGTCTCATCCCTAATTTGCTGCTCTGGCAAGTCTCTCTCCTGAACCAGATGATCTTCTGGGCCCTCTTCCCAGTGGTTCGGTTGGAGCAGTTTTGCAGCCTTTGAACTGCTGGCCACCCCCACTGTATCCTCAAATCCTTCTCCTGTCTTGGCTCTGTGACTCAGTTCTTTCCTCTCCCCCATGTCCTACTGCTCTCTTTCCTCTCCTAGTGCTCCTCGCCCTTCCCCATCCCAGCTTTGCTGCCTCCTCTTGTTCTTCTCCACTCTTCAATAAGAGTGTTCCCCAGGACCCGGACTTTAGCTCCCGTCTCTTTTTCCTCTCTAATGCTTCCCTAGGGCAACTCATCCTTTCTTGGGCTTTAATGATACCTAGGCATCTTATGTGGGCTCTAGACCCCTGTAGTCATTTATCCAACAAATATTGAGTATCTCCTATGTACCAGGCAGGGTGTTAGGCACCGGGGATATACGAGTAAACAAAACAGACAAAACCCTGCCCTCATGCAGATTACATTCTGGAGTGTGTGTGTGTGGG